GATCCTGAGCATGGCTTTATCTGGTCGCAGAGGAGAACCAGTGAAGGAGTGTAGACACCTGTGGTGAATTAGGTAGGAGAGGAGGAAGGTGTGGGTCTGCGGTCCCCTCGAGGCCTCAGGGCGACCGTCTCCCACCCCAGAGTGGGTGGGGAGAATGGTTGAAGATGAAGGCCCGGGTCCGGCCATTGACCCAAGGTGGGGGTCGAAATGCCCACAGCCGCACTAAAGCTTTCCACATCTGAGAGTGATCGGAGGGTGTGGAAACGTCCATTGTGTTTAGCCGAAAGACTAAAAGGGTATCCCCACCGATAGGATATGTTGGGGTCTTGCAGGATTTTGGTCAAGGGGCGTAGGGCTCTACGCTTGGCTAGGGTGCGCCTGGAGAGATCCGGGAACAGAGATATTTGGGCGCCATCGAAATCCAGGAATCTGGCGGATTGAGCCTTAGTCAGGATTTCGGATTTCAGGCCAAAGAAATGTACCCTGCAGAGTATGTCCCGGGGTTGTGGGTTGTTGGGCCTACGAAATCCTGGAGTGCGATGAACTCTATCGAGTTCAATGTGGTCAGTCACTGGTCTGTTGAGGATAGTATTAAAGATCCCCATGACGGAGGCTAGGAGGTCGGAGTCACCCGTAGCCTCGGGCAGGCCGCGGATCCTGATGTTATTGCGGAGGCTACGATCCTCCAGGTCGTCAAGGTGGGTATATAGGTCAGCAATATGGGAATGCTGGGCAACGACCACTGAGCGGAGCTCCTCCACAGCAGATGTAATGGACGGGAGGGTGGATTCCACCACGTCTAGGCGGGAGTGGAAGGACTGCAGGCCCTCACGGATCTCTTTCATGTCTGCCTTATGAGCGGATTCCAATCTGGCAAAAAGGGCCTCAATGTCGCTTTTAGTGGGTAATTGCTGGAGGCAGCCCTTGTCCATGTCCTCATCAATATCTGACCCGGCGGGGTCCCTGGGGGAGGATGTGTGGGCTGATGGTGGGGACTCACATGTCGATGAGGACAGAGCTGCACGAGGGGATCCGGCAGGCATCTTGGATTCCCGCTGCAGGTCCGGCGGCCGCTGGAAAAACGGCGGAATCCTCTGTGTGGCGGCAGAGCCCGAGGTCTTAGGTCTCGTACCGGTTCTGCGGGGGGTGTTGTGGCCCATCAGGTGTCACTTCAGTGATGTAAGTCGGTTCGGGGAAGGTAATTAGCGGGTCGGCTGCGGGAGCTCTCAGTAGACGCGTCCACACAGGTCCATCGGCAAGCCACGCCCCCCTCTGGGCATGTTTTGGTGCATTAGCTGCTCATACAAAGTGAATGGGGTAACCTGTGAAGAAGGCCTAAGGATGATGTTTCCCAAGAGAAACAAAGACGCTGCCATGGATGGCTTATCATTCCTCAAATATCAGTTATTATGAACTGGCATCCTAACCATCTAACTTTATTACTTGAAGTCATTGACCAAGACCAACTATTCAGAAATGGATATCTGGGCTAGGGAGGCAAACCTTACTGAAGCCAGTGGGTCTAAATAATAGTCAGACAACTTGCATTTTCTCAAGAAGGTCAGCCATGGCAACCTACATATCGCTCTTAGAAAACTTTATTTTGTAAGCTTTGTAGTTTGTTACTGAGCGTTCAATCTTTTTTAGACAGGGAGACAGTCAAAAAGGAAGAAAATGATTAGTATTGCAGGAAATAGGAAACATCTCGGGGAATGCTAATTATTTTAAAATGTAAAAAAATAAAATATAGACATGAGAATTTATAGTTTCTCTGGGTCCAATTAGCTTATAAGACTAATGAAGACTCCAAACGATTTAGAAATGTCTCCCCCTAGAATTAAGAATGAGTGTTATAGCAATGTGTAAACTCTATATATACTCAACATAAACTGGCAGCTTTCGGTTTTATACCTCAGATGTGACAATAAAAACAGCACTGTGTGATTCTGATATACATTTTTAAAAGCATCTATGAAAGAATTTGAGGCTGCACTAAAGAAGGTAGGTGTCAACAGTGCCTTTAAAAAGCTTTTCACTTAAAATGTATCTAAACCCAACATTTTTCAGTATGTTTGGCATCACACCTCAGCGTATAACGTTTATTAAGCAAATGTGTAATTGTGTTACTAAAGTTGTTTTACTGCCAATGCAGAATTGTTGGCTGGGATGCATCTTCAGTTGGCCACTGGACTGCTTACCAGGTCTATCAGATAGGCAGCCTTATAGTCTCCAGCCCTATAGTAAATCAACCCCATAGAGGTTGATTTACTAAAGGCACATAGGCTGTTCACTTTGCAAGGGAATTTGTACTTTGCAGGGGAAGTTTGCTCTTAGTTCAGTGAATGAGGGGAAGCTCTGCTGACTTCCATCACCCAATCATGTTCAAGAAAAAATAATCTGTTTTTATTTTCCTTGCACATTATTGGGTATTCCTTACAAAGTGAAGATTCACCACATTCACTAGGCTAAGGGAAACTTCCCTGCAACGTGCAAATTCCCTTGCATAGTGAACACCCTATTTAGTCAATCAACCCCATTGTCTCTCAGATGTGTCCATATAAAGGAAGCGATGGGAATTCATCTTTGCTCTGACTTATTAACGGAGCAACTTTTCTCCAGAGGTCTTGGCAATTTTCATATCTATGAGGCTTATCAATGAAGATTTACTCCTATGAATCTCCATCTTTATCATTTGACTCTTGTTGACAAGGGTTCAAGAAGATGAATGTTATATTCCACACAATAGATGAAACTGAACCTTGTTTATAATTGTATAGATCATTTTTTTTACCTCTTCTTATAATTATTACAGGTACTTCTTCCCACCCATGACCTCAATCTTTCTCTTTCTTGAACATCAAATGAAATGACATAAAATATTCTGGTGTCACATTTCCCTGTGTTAGAGGTGTCCCATCGTACCCCAAAGCGACATATCACAGTATATAGTTCCAGTGACTGCTGAAATGGGCTGGTGGATGGTGTTGTACATTTAGAAGAAGTAATGAGGTCAACAGCACATCAAGGTCCACTTTATTGATCCGTCTTTTATTGATGTTCAGATAAATATGGTGTCACAAACTATTGAAACATTTTAGAACCAAATATGGTCCCTTCATCAGGCAAAACAATGTGGTGATGACCTCATTCAGTTCCGAAATGTTGCGATTGTTTACGAGACCATGTTTATCTGAACATCAATAAAATATGGATCGATGAAGTGGACTTCGGTGTGCTGGTCATCCAATGTCCCTGTCTGACTGCATTAGGTTTGTTGAAAAATTATTCATTTGGGTTTGTAACACATTTTGGGCCCATGTTGTCAGTTCCACATTACATAGATACATGTAGTTACATAGTATTTGAGGTTGAATAAAGAGACATGTCCATCAAGTGTGTCTGTGTGGGCCTTGCATTAAGAGTACCTGTACCCCTGTATGCTTTGTTCTCTGAGGAAAGTATCTAAATTATTTTTTAATAGCTCAATACTCACTGCTAATTTCACTGTTTGTGAAAGGGAGTTTAGTTTAGCTGAAGTTAGGTTTTAAATAGGTGAGGTGAGGGGCAGCATCCATACTTTCTCAGAAGGCAGTTCTTTCTAAAGATATCTAAACCCAAGAACAAAAATGTAATACATTGTAGTTTGCTAGTTCTTTGATGTGGTCACTGCAATAGTTTTCCTTTTCCAGGCTAAGAACATTTATAGCAAATACAGAAATAAATATCTGTTGATCTTGCTGGAAATGCAATGTCTTTGTAACTTCCTACTCAATAAACTGAAAGCACAGCCCCCACCCCACCTACCATGTAATGGAGATAGATAGAAGAAGACATGTCCACAGAATTACAAGATGTAAATAATGGGAAAAATGCTTGGATACAGAAAATTAATTCAGATACCAAATCTAAGCACTGGTAAACTGCAATATTCTACATTTTCTATTGTTGGGTTAATATCCACCTGTCCGTGCACCTTCCCACAACTTTTCACTTGAGATTGATAACACAACTATCCAACCCTCCTCCAATGCCAAAGGTCGTAGGTGTCATCCTTAACTCGGACCTCATCTTTCATCTCCACATCCAATTACTATCCAAATCCTGCCGCCTTCACCTTCGTAACATCTCCAAAATACGCACCTTCCTCACCAATGAAACCGCAAAATTACTCATCCGCTCAATTGTTATATCTCGTCTTGACTATTGCAACTCCCTCCTCATTGGCCTTCCACTACACAGGATATCCCCCTTCAGTCTATCATAAATGCAGCTACTAGACTCATCCACCTAACCAACCGCTCAGTGTCTGCAACCCCCCTTTTGCCGATCCCTGCACTGGCTTCCAATAGCCCAAAGGATAAAATTCAAAATATTACCAACCACTTACAAAGCCATCCACAACTCTGACCCCAGATATATCTCAAACCTGGTCTCTAAGTATCACCCTAACCGTCCCCTCCGCTCTTTCAAAGGCCTCCTGCTTTAGAGCTCCCTCATCAACTCCTCCCATGCTTGCATCCAGGACTTCTCTAGAGTCTGTCCCATTCTCTCAAACTCTTTACCCCAACCTGTCCGTCTATCTCCCACTCTGACTGCCTTTAGGCAATCCCTTAAGACTCATCTCTTCAGGGAAGCCTATCCCACCTCAACCTAACCACTGTAACATCATGTTCTCAAACAATTCCTCCCCACACAGCTACCTCCTCATGTATCACTTCCCCCTCCCTTTTAGATTGTAAGCCCTCAGGGGGCGCCTTACCATCTTGTCTTGAATTGTATTGTGATTGTAATGTCTTCCTTATATTGTAAAGCGCTGCGCACACTGTTGGTGCTATATAAATACTATGTAATAATAAAAATAATAATATACACTTTAAAAAAACAGTTTGTCTCCTTGGTAATCACATACTGTACAATGTTAAACCTTATTTGATCAATGTTTACCCTATCTAGTCCGGATGAGAGCCGTCTGTACAAGTTTATCTCCTACCAGTTCCAAAATGTGTGATGCCAACCAATCCAACGTTGAGGAATTCATACTTCTTGGTTTTCCAAATATGTCCATGGTCAAGATACAATTTTTCTTCTCAATATTGTCACTCTATGTCATCATAGTAAGCATGAATACTCTCCTCGTTGTGTTGGTGGCAAAAAGTAGACAGCTTGAGCTACCAATGTTCTTTTTCCTCCAAAACCTATCCTTGGCGGACATCTTTCTCACCACCAATACTGTTCCAAAGATGCTACAAGTTATCTTGTGGGAGGCAGTGACCATATCATTCTCCGAGTGTGTAGCTCAGTTCTATTTTCACAGTGTAGCAGGAATCGTTGAGTGTTTCCTTCTAACTGTCATGTCTTATGATCGATATGTGGCCATCCACAATCCATTGCGTTATGTCTCCATTATGGACCTTAAACATCGGCTACATTTAGCTCTGTGGTGCTGGTTGCTAGGTTTCCTTGTGATGGCAATGGAAATGTTTTTCATATGGAATTTGAAGTTTTGTGGGTTGAACACCATTGACTTTTTCTTCTGTGATTTTGCTCCACTGTTAGAGCTGTCCACATCGGACACCTCCATGGTTATTCTGGAAGATTTCATCTTCTCAATTCCAGTTATTATCTTGCCATTTGTTTTCATAATTGTCACATACATCCTTATTATAAACACCGTCTTGAAGATCTCCTCTATGTCGGGAAAGAAAAAAGCCTTTTCCACATGTAGCTCACACCTGATCATTGTATGTATTTACTATGGGACTCTCATTGTTGTGTATGTTGTTCCATCAAATGGTACACATGTTAACAAGTTTATGTCCCTCTTATACATTTTAGTGACACCTTTGTTTAACCCCATCATATATAGCTTGAGAAATCATGAAATTAAATCTGAAATTCTTAAAATAATTAAAAGGGAGAAATAAAAAAAAAAATCATCTTGGTAGTGGTAAGGCATTGCTTCTTCATGTCAGAGCTACACCTTTGATAGCTTAGAAGTGATGGATAAATAATTAAAGGGTTTTTAAACCCTAAGCTTTTTTTGCATTTATGCAAAAAGTTAAAAAAAAAAAAACATTAACAGTGGTTTAAACTTACCTGTGTCTTCCCCGCGCGCTCCCTTCTGAAAATGTTAAAATTCTCGGGCGGCCGCAAAGGATCTCGGGGCGCAGTTCACATTTTCAGCCCAAACGTGAAGAGGGACGCAAGGTAAGTCTATGGACGCGTGCACCCGCATGCAGACACCGTCGGACAGGAAGTGCCAGCAAGCTCAGAGGAGTCAGCGCCGGATCGGACACCCGCCGCAGCGCTGGAGAGAAGTCAGGAAAGAAAAAGAAGATCGGATTAAGAGACATCATTTAAGGTAAGTGCTTTAATTAACATTGGGGGGAGGGGGAAAAAAGTTGCTTTTAATGTCACTTTAAGCAGCAGGAGAGATAGAGAACAAAATATCCAGAATGGATGATACAGAAGCAGGGTAGTACTTGCACTGCAGGTCCTCAGATACAACTTAATTTCCAGCAAGAAAAATAAAAGCCAAATCTAGTGGGTCAGTCAGAGACAGCAGTGCCTTAGATGACCTCACAATGCTGATACAGTACACAGCTTTAGGGATTAAGGCATAGGAATGTCTAGGCCCAGGATACTATGTTTCAGCCGGAATTTGAAACAAGAGTTAGGGGGTTATTTATTAACCTGTCTTAGGCAGCTGAATGAGTAACCGAGCCGAAGTGAAGGGAGCCGAAACCTGTTCGGCTATTCATTCTAGCCATATATGGCTATTTTGAGCCATGCATAAGCTGCACTCAGCTCACTTCACCTACCTTCGCTGAACACCCTCAGCACGTAGTCTCAGCATGTAAACAAATGGACAGAGCGAGTTCTGTGACGTCACGGGACTTGCTCCGCTCATTTGTTTACATGCCATTTGAGGACAGTGAGCTGGCATGTAATTTAAACAAATAGGCGGAGTGAGTTGTGAAGTCACAACTATCCCCACCCATTTGTTTACATTTGGCCCTGATCTGTCATTTTGCGGTGGGTGTTCAGCGGCAGCGTAGAGGTCGGCGGGCGGTGGGACTTTTTTATTCCAGTGAATCGGCAGGCATTGTTCATCATGATTGACATGGACCTACATTGTTGGCCTTCATTTTTGTTTAATAATACTAATAATAATAAATGCACTATTTGGTAAATGAGTAGGGGTAACAACTGCCCCTTACTCATTCACAAGGGGGGTTGCCTCTGGGTGCCCCTTTATGAAAAGGGGGCACCCAGATCCAGATAAACCCCCCAGCCCACAGAGCCTCACAAACACCAGGCCAGGGTTGTGGGAAAGAGGCCCTCGTCCTCATCGTCATGGGAAAAGATGCTTTTCCAGGGGTGTCCCCCCAGGAAAAGCACCATCCCAATGTAAAGGGCATGTGGCCCGGTATGGTCCACCCCTTTCCTGCCAGACCATTGCACAAATTAAGGGTCTGGTATGGAATTTTTCACATTTTTTTTGGACATCAGGGGACCCCCTAACATTACTACCAGACCTAAAGGGTCTTATATTAATTGGAGAGGGGAACCCTAAGTTTTTCTTTAATTATTCTATCTTTTGACAACTTCCAGGGATTCGGTCTGCTTTGGCGGACCGTTCATTCCGCTCTGGCTGTTGTTCAGCTTCGCCAAGCTGAAGCATGTTAGTTTGGCTCGGCTCCCTTTGGTTGTTTACTTAGCTGCCTTTGGCTGCTGTACGCGCTATTGACAATAGCTCATACAGCAGCCCTTCGGTTCGGCTGAACCAAAGGGTTTCCTGCAGCTGAAGCGAGTTGAAATAATAGCAGAACTTGCGACTAAATCCTTCGGCTCTTTAGTGAATCACCCCTAGATGTTTCCTACAGCATAGCAAATCTTCAACCTTTTGAGTTTAGGTCCAATTAAACTTCATGTATTGCTGGTGCCCAACCTGTGTGAATTTCCACCAAAATGAAATCCTGCAGAAGTAATAATAAAGCTGAACAATTAGACCAAAACCATATGAGTGATTTGGAATTGTAATGAAATAATCACAATTTTCAACAGTCTACCACTAAAAACTGCAGCTACAGATACCTGAGTTCTTAAGTGATCACAAGACCCTTTGCCACAACTGTATGTGACTAACCATTACTACACTTATCAAGTGAATGCTTGCAAACTCTGCAAACTGGTTTTCTCAAACAGGGTTTAGTTCCATATTGGTGTACTTTACAAAAAGAAGATGTTCAGTGTGGATCCCCAGTCCAACCTGGCGTGCAAGTCTGCATCTTTGTGAACTAAAGAGGTAGTTTGGGGTTTTATCTACTGAAATGAATAAGTAAGGAGCCCTAACTAATAAGAGTTTGGGTAAAGATCCTTTGTTCTGGAGTCAAGCCATAACCAACTATCTGTTTCATGCAAGGGAGAGACTTATGGGGAAAAAATGTTGGCATTTAAAGTATGCCATGGCATTTTATGGATTGGTTGGCATAGTGGAAGGAAGGTAAACCTTAAGGACATAGTTCATTGCAACACACCTTATCACATCTTCCATCATCAGCTTCCTTAAGGCTCTCTGCATTTATCCACATGTCACCTCAGAGCCACAAAGTAAGTTGGTGTGGAAAGACTTCCCTCTGCCATGTGCTCTGATTACATTTCTGAACGGTAAACAGATAACTATATAATGTCCACCATGTATCACTGACTGCAAATCCCTCTCTTAGTGATGTCTGAATGGGGGAGTATCTCCACTCAAGACCTCTAACCCAATACATCTTAGTAGTGTAGCACTGACTCATGAATGAGCTAACAGAATGTTGGATACCTATGTTGTCTTCAGTGTTGACTTGCCCTAAATGGACCCAGCAATATACCAGTAGTGATATTAAAGACTTTTTGAAGCTGCAACAAGCCCTGAAAAGGAAAGTACTGGTTCAACTGCTATTCCTCCCCCCAGTCATGTAGCCCCTACGCTTAGTCTCTCCGTGTCTGTCTATAAATGCAAATTGCAGATGCATAAATTGGACAGTTTATTCCCAAAATAAACAGGGCCCTGGCAAGGCATTCTGTCCCTATGTTGTGGCCTCATCCCCACATCCCTGGTCTGGTGAATATGGGGGTCTACTTTTCAAAATCTGAAAGCACCATTTAGAATAAGAGGGCCCACAAATATCCAGTGCACCCTTCCCCCCAAACACACACGAATGAGTACAGGGTATACAGTAAAAAAAAGTAAATAGCAAATAAACACAGGAAGACCATAAAGTCCTGTATTAAGAAAATAAACATAAAATAATAAATTCTATAGTTCAATTAATCGGTATCTATGCTAAAGAAGTATTATAAATCATACATTTATATTAGCTAAATTGCCTTTTATTTTAACATTGACTGTTCTAATAGGAACATTTGCAAACTGATTTTATAGCTGAACTCTTGGAATGATTTAAAAGAACAAATTAATGCAGCTCTGTATTCACTAAAATATTATTAAAAGAGATATTTTTAAAATGCAAACAGTGTAAGTACCTGAATTCGACTTGGTATCAGCCTCTTGCAGCCTCTTGCAGTCCGTATTCAACAGAACTCAGACTGGGCATAAGGAGAAGCTGCACAAAGTTGCAAGCAGTTGTGCTGCAGTGAAGGAGAATGCTGATAGGAGCAGAATGCAGAGTAACAGAGAGATCAGCTTATCTATCTATTGCTTTTTATCAGTGGCGTAACAATCGCCATAGTGACCCAGGCGGCCGCTATTGGGCCCGGGGCACAGGGGGGCCCGGCCAGATGTCGTGCAGGCCGTCTGGGTCGCTATGGCATCTTATGCTGGTGTCTTTCACTGGCGGCTGTGAGAAGAATGCGCTGCCGTTCAGATCACTGACAGTGATGTGTGCAGCAGCGCGTTCTTCTCAAAAAACGCTGCGTAGTCAATGAGAGCCAGCAACAGCAGTAGAGCAGGCTGGACCTGGCAGTGGAGTAGGAGGCGGGGCCTGTGGTCGGCAGTAGAGGAGGAGGCGGGGCCCAGTGACAGAGAAGGAGGCGGGCCCGGTGACAGAGGAGAAGGCGGGGCCCGTCAGCGACCGTGCAGGAAGAGGAGGCGGACAGGTAAGGAGTGTGACCAGCCCACCTGAGGGTGACCCTGCAGAGGCCACCATAGATCGTCTATGGTGGGCTCTGCAGGGTCACCCTCTGGTGAGCTGCTTGGGATCTCAGGTGGGCTCTGCAAGGGGCATAACTAGTCGCAGGGCCCCATACAAAATTTTTCTATGGGGCCATGTGATTTCTAGTTACGCCCCTGCTTCTTATTTTACTGTTTGGTCACAGTGTGGAGGTGAGAGGGAGACGTGTATAATTTACTGACCTGAAGCAGAGAAAAAACAGGTCTTCTGCCCTTCTAGGCAGGGCTGTGACACATGACAGAAACACACATCCTTCCATTCATGAATAAGATTTGTTGTAAATTTGTTGTGAGATTCTTTTCTAATCTATTAATTTAAAAAAATAGCAAAAGAAGAACTCAGGGCAAAAGTTTTATTAACCCTTGCATTGCGGAGTAACTGCTCATTTGTGTCTAGGTGCTAAACAAAAAAGTTATACCCACCCAATGATTTGACCCGGCTTGTTCTTAGACCGGGTCCCTAGAGCCTCTCTCTCCCTCCTCTGCAGTGGTCTAAGATTTCTTGTGTCATCATGTTCTATACAAGAGGACAATAGGGAACATTCCATCGGAGTGCAACGGAGGAGGGGACACGCTTCAGTGACCGGAGTGAGGTGACATCTCCTTTTAGGTAGCTGACAACTGAATGGGTGTCCCCATTGTAAGATTTCTCTTCACCTCATTTATTGGTGACACCCAGGAACATCCCTATTATAAGGCAACCTGAGGCAATAACCTCAGTGTTTATCTCTTTGGGTTCATGTG